ATTTTATTCAGGGGATGGTGTAAAATATTCATTTGGTAAGGTTTAAGAAAATTTCTTTTTTTCACGAGAACATAATTTAAAAAAAATATATTAAACGATATGAGTTTCTTTTCATGCCTTCAACTACTGATAAAAGCAATTCGAGTGGAATTATTTGATGATATGTCATAAGTAGGCCAGTTTTCATGGGTCACACCAAATTTATTCACTTTTGAGTTTTATTAAATCTAACTTCAAATTATTTCTATTTATATTCCATTCCATTTCTGAGAAATGTTTGAATCAGGGCCTCCTACTCCAACATGGTCTTGGCACTGATCACACAAACTAATGACCATTCTATGAAGCCAAGCATACTGAAAATGGGAATGAGTCATATACAGTCAAACCTCGGTTCACGAACTTAATTCGTTCCTGAAGGTCGTTCGTAAACCGAAACTATTTTCCCCATATGAATTAATGTAAAATGGATTAATCCGTTCCTGGACCCCAGATGATTGCTTATTTAAAATTTTACAACAGTACTTTGTGCACAAGTTCTTAACACAAAATCAATGGAAACCATTAAATCTATCACAAAAAAGATAAACACAACACTAAGCACATCAAATATAGACGAAAACTTAATTTAGTTTTACCGTATCTGAATGGAGGAGAGTTGACGGCGTTAGTGGAAGGTGGTGAGGAAGTGAAATGTTATTGTTTGGAAGGGGATTCTTTTTCTTTTTTCTGTCTCTTGACACCACTCGACTCTGCATCAGACTCACTGGGCCTCTGTCTCACTAAAAAGTTGTTCAGTGTGATTTGTTTTTGTCTACATTTTAAAATATTTCTAAAGTGACACATGGCATTATCATTGAAAATGTTTATGCTGCGGCTTGCTACTGCTTTATCGGGGTAATATCGTTCTTTCTTAACATCTATCATGATATTGGTATTTTTTCTTTTCACTTTGCTGCCATCATTGTCTTTCTTTGGCCCATGCTGGATCATTCTTCAACGAATACTGCTGACGCTGATACTCCCAGCTTATCGCTCCATGATGTTGACGGCTTGCGTGTTCGTAACTCAAGACACAGTACATCATCCGAGACACTTTGTGTTCAGAAAATTTGTTTGTAAACTGAATTGTTCGTGAGCCGAGGCGTTTGTGAACCGAGATTTGACTGTACATAGTTCAGGGGAAGCAAATGACCTTAAACACATCAAGGTCTGAGAATGCATATTTTTAGAAACACTTTTGGAATAAAAAATGTTACCTCTTAGTGAATAACCATAATAATTTCATGAAGTAGTTTATAAAAAATTATCAGTACCATTACATAGAAAGTAATTACATTATCTTACTTTGATAATAACTGTGTCGCCTTGGTTTGACAGCATCCAAGCAAAATTTGAGGTAGCCACAACAATCTTTGCTATTCCTCTCCTAAAAATGATACTTATAAAATTCCTATAACAATGGATAATAAAATCAGAATATATGAGTAACAACACAGTGTCATGCACTGAAATAATCTTGCATCATCATCCATGTCAAAGTTCAGTTAAAAACCAGTGTTTTAAAGAGCTGCTCTGTCTCCATTATCAAGATCAATGTGGGGAAAAAATCATGTCGTTCGCACATACCTCAGCCAGTCCCTGCATTCAATGTTCCCTAATGGTATCTAATGCATTCCGTGGGTTGTGTCATTTGAGTTCCCTTTCCTCCCATCTTGTAACTGACTAAAAAGGGAACCAGTACAACATATGTCAGTGACTTGCGGTACCCCCACATAAACCCTGATAACAGAAACAGAGAGTCTTCAAAACCTACTTTGATGAAGCTGACCACACAAGAGGAGTGTAGTTCATTAATTCACCAAAAGAGCTTCACAACTTGCACAGCGCCATATTTACTCATGCACGGTAATAAAATCACAACATTTCTTAATCTTTACCAGCCATGTGCCACAGTTTCTGCATGGTCCAGCTATTGCAGCAGCATAATGTTAAACAGTTACATGCCACAGTTTGAGTCCAGATGTCAGCTGCATAACACTTAGTTTTAAATCCTCTATTCTCATACACGTTGAAGTATAAAGAAAGGATGCTGTGTATTGATTTAGGGTATAATCAGCTTTTAAGAACTGTCATATTTACATCATGTACATGCAAGCAGGGATAGTGAGTGGGATGGCTGCCCCAGGACCCGCACATCAACATTATTTCATGCAGAGCTACAAACACACCCAAGAAGTAAAAATGTCAACATAATGCACATTAAAGTATATTAAATTCACCATAATCCCAGAACAGATATATGAGTACACTCTTTAATACATACATAGCTTGATGCCAGTAATATTAAACTTACAAGTTAATGGCTTTTTTCCGCCTGTACAAATCTTAAGATGGGCACTACACAGACTGGTTCACCTCTGGGCCCATACCCATCTGCATGCAATGGTTTTCACAAATGCATATGCAAATTAAATATTTCTAATATACATACATATTAATGAGAGAAAAGCAAGGCTATCCCATTAATTTATTCTGGCTCCCAGTTCAGGACTGAGTATGTCTGCATAGCAGTAACACTTTTGTTCAGGAGATACTCAATTAATGGAGTTCTAGATGGTATTTTTCCACTACATTTCTTTTTCTAATGTGGACTCAGACAGAAGTAAATGCTCCTATCAAGTTGGGCTAACTCACATGTAATAACATGGCTTCACGACTACGCCATCTAGAAAACTAACTGTATAAAGTTTTTAGTATCTGTAAAAGCAACTCTACACAGTACATACAGATAGTTTTATAACAATTAAAGTGGATAAACAACTAATCAATCAGAAAGTAAATGAAATATATTATGGAGTTCTTACCGTGCATTAGCAGTCATTTCAGAACTAATAATAAGAAACCCATTCAAACACAGGCTCTTGCATTCCTCACTTGTACATTCAGTCAAGAACTTAAGTAATGTATTCTTTATATTGTTTGGCAGGTTTAACTTATATTTCAGATATTTATCTGTCATGTTTCTTATTAACACTGCCGTATGAACTGCATCAGCTTCAGAATTAACAAAAACTACAACCTATGACATAAAACATAAAATTTTCATTCAAAACATGTCTATTCACACTTGGATTACACTTGATGCATCATAATTATCAAACCTGAGATATTAAATTGGTTTGAAAATGATAGATAGAATAAGGACACTACCATTCAGCCAAGGTATACAGATGAGCACACTACTTGGTGTGTGGGTGACTGTTATATGCAGCTCAACAGTAGCAGATGGCAGTCTTGGCCACACCTTGCTAAAAACATTTACCCCAGGTTTCAGTTCTGGATAGCATTTCAAGTTAAGTCTGTAGCGAGTTACGTGAACATTCTGTTTGCGTTTCTAAGATCTTGTATAACAAGGGGTATTACAATTTTATTCAAGTGGTTCACTTCTTAAGGATACATGCATTTTGAATGACTAGTAGATTTTTTATCAATTTCCTAGAATTGTGATGTCACCCACATGCCAAGTTGTTTACCCATTTTTATACTAAAAAGCAAGGAAGGAATCAAAAAGGAACACATGGGAAGATAAAGGAGAACAGGCTATTTTTCATCCACAGACACACTGAAACAGACACAACGGTGGAGGAATACAAAAATATACATACCTTGTTATTGTGGCAAATGGCCTTATCTACATTCTTGCAACAAATTTCATCTACAGTCTTTCTATATTCATCTGCTCCTTTAACTTTGACTTTCACTAGAAATACTTGTGGCAAAATTGTGGCATGATTCTGTCCAACCACAAATGTATTATCTGCATCCACATGCAGGAACTTAGCCATATCAAAAGATGCTGGAGAACAGTCCGCTGACAGAAGAGAGACTGTGAAACCCAGGATACGCACTGGTCTGTCATGTTTCGCCTATAAAACAAAGTGAAAATTACATTTTCAGGGTTTCTGTAGCAGAAGTACGCTGATATATCTCCTAATGCATTACAATCCATCCCTCTACAATGTTTCTGTAGCTTCATATCCTATGCTTTCTTGCGAGTTTCAAACAGCCTATATTACATGCAGAAGGTTATCAATGAGTCAATTTATTGACATACCACAACAGTTTATTAAAATCTGACTATAAAATAAGTTTACATATTGCTTAATAACTGTCTTAATCAAAATCTACCATTAGTTAGATGTATGCTGTTGCTTTTGCTGGAGTAATTCTTAATATCAAATTTAATTTTTGTTGTAATTTTCACACATCCCTCCAAGTGTTAATTAGTATGATGTATCCTCATTCTTGACTTAACATTCTTCATTCATCTAAGTAATTCTTCAGTTGTTCATTTCCAATAATCCACCACTGATTCATTAATTGACACAAAATTAACACCTGGTGGCCCCACAGTGATAAATAGAGATATCCCATTCATTTGACTGTAGAAGCCAAACTTTGAGATAATAAGAACTGAGTGTGTCTCTTGCAGGGTACCAAATGTCATGTGTCAATATACAGGTGATGATGCTTGTTTATAAACCTCATTAAGGATAAGTACAAAAATTAAAATAATCTAGACAAATTAAAATGCAAGTATAGTTTTTATAAAGATACAAGCATACCTCATTTTATTGTGCTTCACAGATATCACGTTTTTTTACAAATTGAAGGTTTGTGGCAACCCTGCGTCGAGCAAGTCTATTGGCGCCATATTTCCAACAGCATGTGCTCACTTCATGTCTCTGTGTTACATTTTGGTAATTCTTGCAATGTTCTCGCATTGGTTTTTTAGACATAATGCTATTGACACTTAATAGACTACAGTATAGTGTAAACATAACTTTTATATGCACTGGGAAACCAAAAAATTTGTGTGACTCGCTTTATTGCGGTGGTTTGGAACTGAACCCGCAATATCTCCGAGGTATGCCTGTATATGATATAAAAAATAAGCAATTTCATTATTTCAGTAGTTTACCTTAAGAAAACTACAGGTAATGAACAAGTGGTTATGATAGTTCTAT